ATTTAAATTCTAAAGAAGCAAAGTCTAAGATATATAATAGATGATATATTAATAATGGCTAAATCAAGAAAACTGGCACTTAGGTATACACAGAAGATTTGTGGGAGGTTAGAATATCTGGAGTTTATAAAACAAGAAGAAATCGCAGTTAGATCCATCAAGAACAATAGAATTTCTAGAGTTCAGCATAGACTCAATCGAGATGACATTTATATTTTCTTAAGGAAGATAAAAGATATTTTGAAGGAATGCCAGAAGGAGAAAGCTATAAAAGCAATTTATGTACAAAAATTAGTGTCAATATTAGACAAGCTAAATACCATAATAGAAGCGATCCTTCCAGCAAGGTTTTTTCAAGAGCCCTGCCTAAAGACAAGAATTTGACAATAAAACAACAGGGATGGAATAGGCTAGGACAGCTCTCTAGAGAAAGCAAGCAACAATTGAATCTATAGATAAGAAACCTGTTAGACTGGAATGGGCGAAGAGTTATACAGGATGCACTCACTATGATCATCTATATTGATGTCTCCAAGTTGGGATGGGGTGCAGTATAGAAAGAGAAAATAGCCTTTGGACAATAGGAAGAGCAGTTTCATCAAGACAACATAAATCTGTTAGAATTAAGAGCAGTAAAGAATGCTTTAGGAAAATAGAAACACATCAAGAATCAGATGAATTTGGTTCAGAGTGACAACACAACCACAGTATTATATATCAACAAGCAGAGAGGGACAGTGTTACTAGCAATGAGTCTATTGGCAGAAGAGATTTGGATGACTATTCTTCACAGATTAATAGCAGAATACATCTTTTTGGTTTCCAGTTTTTCTATCTCTGTTGGATGACATATTACAGAAATTGCCAAACAATCCTGTGATACTGATAGAGGATTATGACCAGTATTAGCGAATATGCAGTATATAGTGCATATATCAGAAATTGCCTTATGAACTAGGCCTTTTAAAAAAGGCTATTAGGTTATATGAAGCAATATATAATATTGAATCTACAAGAACAGTATCATCGAATATTAAGAAATAGATATCTTGATGCAGTGAAAGGAAAGCTGATCCTATTATGTGCTTTTTGAGTTCTATTATTAAATTTTTTAACAATTAAGTAGAGTCAAGAAGAGCTTACAACACCATCACAGGATATAAATCCGCAATAAGTGAAGTTCATAACTGGGTGAACAATACACTTATAGATTTACATTTCATTATCATCAAAGCAATAAGAGGAGTGTACAATAAAAACCACTGCTACCAACTGATGATGAAATAGTGAATTTGGTCTTAGCATTTAACAAAGTAAGATCCTTTAAAAATAACAATACCATGAATATTTTATTCTTATTAAAGAAGTCTCCTTTTTATTGGCTATTATTACAGCAAGCAGGACTTCTGGACCTAACCAGAATTGATACATCGTCTATAGTGCTTATAGTATATAGAGTGATGTTTAGCATTAGGAACCTAAAGGTACACAAAATATCAATTTCTCATGGAGGTAACAAACTAGCATAAAGAAGATATATGTTGAACACTACTCAGAGTTACCAAAAATATTATCTTTAATCACCATTAATGCCTTTCTGATACGAACTCAAGATTGGTGCATTTTGTATAAGCAGAAACTAGTTTACTACTAACTTCAACAGGATAGTATAATCCTTGGCATTAGATACGGTAGCAAGATGGATTAAAGACATTTTGTGTAAAGCATCAACTGATCTGAAGACAAAAGATGCAAGGTCACTAGCAGCATTCTATGCTCAAAGTTTAGGAGCAGACCTTTCAACGATCTTGGCAATAAAAAATTGGTCAAACCATGGCATATATCTCCAATTTTACCAAAGAGAGGTTATGATTATATTACAGAAGCATCAAGTAACATAGGGCATTTTAGCCACGGCAAATAAAAAGAGCTATAAACCAATTAATCTACAGTAATCATGTGATCTGAGATATACTTATTAAGCAAAGTTTATTTTTCAAATATATGAACTTAGTGAAATGCATTTGTAAATAGATAAGCGAAGTAAATATATTGAAGATCATCATCCTCACCCACCCTCTCCATGATAGATAGTTCTATTTTAAAAAATAGCATATACAAACATTAGACAAAAATGGCCTATATATAAAAAAATCATTGTTTTTATTATGCATGTAAAATTATACAAATCCACATAATTGGACACAAACCAATAAAAGCAGGCCTAGTCATGTAATCTTCAATATACTTACTTCACTCATTCATTTACAAATGCATTTCACTAAGTTCATACATTTGGATAATTTTCACTGGTGGTAAAGTTCACCAGGGTGCTATATCTCAAAAATGCATTAGCTAACACCTCTCAGAAGTACTAAGTAAAAATGTTCAGAACCTCCAAAAACCTTATGCTAACTAAAATTGGGGTCCTAATATCTAACCCTAAGCTTTGTCTAAAATTGCACTCTAACCCTAAAAACATAATACTAGTGATTTCCCCCGATGAAATGTAGTTATTTTCTTAAATATAAATTAGTAGTTTTATAAATAATATATAATTTTTATTTGTATTTATAATAGTTATTAGTAATTATATATAATAATTATTTTAAAATTACTAATAAAATACATGCAAGACTTTATTTTAATATTAAAAATATTTTATTTTAATTTGCCACAAATTATTATATATTTAAAATAATAATTTAACTTATAAATATTTATTTTAAGCATTTACTTTGTAAAAAGTATTTATAAATATATATTTAAAATTATGAACTTAAATATTTAAAATATTAATTATAATTATTGTATAAATTTATGCTAACTAAAAATACTAATATTAAATTAATAATTGTAATACTTGGATCATAGGATCGGGTGAGTCTTTGTTAGGTTAGGTGTATAAGTCGTACCTCAGAACGGAATTATTGTGGATTTAGAATCTACTTAGGTTGAAACGGAATTTCAAATATAGTCCAAGTTGATATAAAAGTTAAAAGCAACTTAAGTTGATTCTAAATAAATGTGTAATCGATTGCCGTGACGGTAGTCAAATAAATTACATTCTATCTTCATGATAAATTATCAAGATTAAATGCAAATGTTTTATTATTTTTATTTTTTTGATTCACTTGTTTGTTATTTGTACTCTCTAGCCGATGGCCGAATTCTCAAGATTATTCATTTTACCTCATGATACACGTGCATTGAAGAATTGCTTTCCCAATATTTTAGTAATAAATCGGCTAATAGTTGATGTAAACCTTTATAACATATGAAGACATTGATTTTTGTATTAAGGTTTTAAAAGATGCGGAAAATAAAAACACAGATCGAAAAACACTCACGTGCAAGATTCTCAAAGTTTAGAGGATAACACGTATAATATCAATGCGGCTTGCTTCACCGACACTCAACTCACCGACATCTTAGTTCACCGACATTTAATTCACCAACAAGTTCATTTACCGACAGTTTATTTTACCGACAGCTCATTTCACAGACAAGTAATTCTGGTCATCGTCGTTAGGGTCAGGCCAGAATTAGAGTTAAGGTTAGTGTAAACTTGTCGGTAAAAGGAACTTGTCGGTAAATTAATTGTCGGTGAAATGAACTTGTCGGTGAATTAAATGTCGGTGAACTAAGATGTCGGTGAAGTGATTGTCGGTGAAATAATACGGACCCGTATAATATAAACTTGGGAGCAAGCTGGTATTATTAGAATGTCTACTATGCAATCTTCTTCACAATTATATATAGATAATATTAAATGCAATTGCAAAAACGCGTGACAAAAAATCATAGTAAATGTATCTAGATAAAACTTCAAGTAATGTTTTTAAGTTTAATTAATTTGTAACGCGTTGTGTTATGAATAAACTTTGTCTTAAAGCGACTTAAATTCCGACACAACATATTCGATGAATAATTTGGAATACATTTAATTTTATTAT